GTATCTCTTCCCGACTGAATATTTATAAATCTCCAGCAACAGTCAGGGATTTATTTTTTCAGACGCGAGCATACCCCGATAGCATTTCGTGAACATACATCATGACATACACATACATATCATATACAACATAATCTCATTTATTTTGAGAACATCATCTAACCCCGCATTTCATGCATCGCATATAATTAACCCTGTTATCTTTTCAGGAAAGATGTTTAACTTCAACATATCCAGCAGTTATGCAAGTCACATCTATAGACGACTAATGGAAACTCAGTTCCCGAAACCAAACGGGTCAACTAATCTACACTATCGCTTTAAAGTAACCCTACTATCCAAGTTTTATTCTCACAGCCCTACTATCCAGGCTTTCATTTCGAAGTAACCCTACTATCTAGGTTCCTTCTCACAACCCTACTATCCAGGCTTTCATTTCGAAGTAACCCTACGACCCAGGTTCCTTCTCACAACCCTACTATCCAGGCTTTCATTTCAAAGTAACCTTACTATCCAGGTTCCTTCTCACAGCCCTACTATCCAGGCTTTCATTTCGAAGTAACCCTACTATCCAGGTTCCTTCTCACAGCCCTACTATCCAAGCTTTCATTTCGAAGTAACCCTACGACCCAGGTTCCTTCTCACAGCCCTACTATCCAGGCTTTCATTTCAAAGTAACCCTACTATCCAGGTTCCTTCTTACAGCCCTACTATCCAAGCTTTCATTTCGAAGTAACCCTACGATCCAAGTTTCTTCTCACATCCCTACTATCCAGGTTTTCATTTCGAAGTAATCCTACTATCCAGGTTCCTTCTCACAATCCTATTATCCAGGCTTTCATTTTGAAGTAATTCTACGACCCAGGTTCCTTCTCACAACCCTACTATTCAGGCTTTCATTTCGAAGTAACCCTACTATCCAGGTTCCTTTTCACAGCCCTACTATCCAGACTTTCATTTCGAAGTAACCCTACGACCCAAGTTCCTTCTCACAGTCCTACTATCCAGGCTTTCATTTCGAAGTAATCTTACTATCCAGGTTCCTTCTCACAGCCCTACTATCTAGGCTTCCATTTCGAAGTAACCCTACTATCCAGGTTCCTTCTCACAACCCTACTATCCAGGCTTCCATTTCGAAGTAACCCTACTATCCAGGTTCCTTCTCACATCCCTACTATTCAGGCTTTCATTTCGAAGTAACCCTACTATCCAGGTTCCTTCTCACAGCCCTACTATCCAGGCTTTCATTTCGAAGTAACCCTACTATCCAGGTTCCTTCTCACAGCCCTACTATTCAGGCTTTCATTTCAAAGTAACCCTACGACCCAGGTTCCTTCTCATAGTCCTACTATCCAGGCTTTCATTTCGAAGTAACCCTACTATACAGGTTCCTTCTCACAGCCCGACTATCCAGACTTTCATTTCGAAGTAACCCTACGACCCATGTTCCTTTTCACAGCCCTATTATCCAGGCTTTCATTTTGAAGTAACCCTACTATCCAGGTTCCTTCTCACAGCCATGTTATCCAGGCTTTCATTTCGAAGTAACCCTACTATTCAGGTTCCTTCTCATAGCCCTACTATCCAGACTTTCATTTCGAAGTAACCCTACGACCCAGGTTCCTTCTCATAACCTTACCATCCAGGTTTCTTCTCTCTTATCTCCAGACAACAGTTCACAACACTGTAAGACTTGGACCTGATTAAACACAGTCGATTTCGCATTTCCCCAGTAAGTCGCGGTGTAGCCTGTACCCTGACCAGATATGCAGTTCACTTCCGCTTCCTCAAGCAGAAGTTATTTCTCCAGTAGAGTAACGGACAACTGAAGCTCCTAAAATTTCATTTCTCCCAAGACAGACACCAACATTCCTCAGCAGATTCCTCCTCAACGACAGGAATAGGAATTCTCATCAAAGGAATATCTCAGGAAATCAACATCTTCTAGATGGCGTCTTTAAGCCCATCACCAACAATTCTCTGTCACATCCTATATGGCATATTTAAGCCCATCTCCGACAATCTTCTGTCATCAACTTCCAAATGGCATCTGTAAGCTCATTCCCGATATCACCAAATCAAGTATCACTTCATACAAGTGCAAATTCCTGGGCGCTCTAATGTTCAATCATCTTCCACCTTCAGATCACGATAGGCAGACAAGTCAATCTACATCCTCAAGTTTAAGAAGATTGAACAGGGGCAGATGTTGTACCCCAAAAATTTTCCCTCTCATTTTACTCAACACATGCCCATAGAGATCCTCAATTTGCTCAAGGTTGCCCAAGAGTTGACCAAACAAACTCTCTCCTAAGGCAAGGTATCTTAAACTAGGGTTTCCATTTTCATCAAGATGGGTGAACTCCAAAGACTTCATATGCTCTCCATGGTCTTAATATGTTCTCAAGACCCTCCATGTCAAATTTCAAGCCTTGCACAAGAAGTTTGCTCAGTCAACTGCTCAGATGCTTGAAAATTGATTGTATTAGGTCAAAAGTCAATTGTGGCTCACATACAGTCAAACTTCAATATTTTTGGTCAACAATAACATTTTGAAGTTATATCCATCATTTGATCAAGGGTTGATCATGACTCCTCAAGGAATGCCCCAAATTCATAAAAACCCAAAAGTTACTAAATTAGGGTTTCTAAGGAAAAGTCAACCAAACTTTGACCAAGCATAACTTCTTCATACTTTATCAGAAAAAAATTTCATCCAAGGCTCATTTTGAAGAGGATGCAATTCCCTACAATTCATATTCATCCCTCAAGTTCAAAATATGCACTCACAAAAAGATATGAATTTCAACATTATAGGTCCTTTTGAAAAGTCAACAAAAACACTTTTTGGGTCAAAGCTTCTTACATGAACATGGAAGACCCATTTGAGATGAGACCAAAAGGGTTGTTTAGGGGACATCCTAAGATTTAGTTAAAATTGGAAGAGATATGCTTTGTCAAAGTTGACTTTTTTTGCAAAATTGCCAAAAGTCAAATATGCTCAAAAATGCATTTTTTGCCAAATGGACCTAACTTTTTATGCTTGCACCTCACTTATAACATGGTCCACGACCCAAATACTCACTCACACATTATTTGCCTCATTTTTCATTTTATTTTGATTTTTTATTAATTAAAAAATTAAATTAAATCAAATAAATGGTAAATAATAACAAAGATTTGTTTTGATTGAATTTTTGGACAGAATCACAAGCTCATTATGCTGGCATAGTAGAATCAAATCAAATCAAAGCTGATTGACACAAGAATGGCATGATAAGGCCAAATTTGGAAGGATATCATACAACATGAAAACTAAATCAACTATTCAAAAATTGCAAAGATACTAGTGGTTTTTATAACCCTAATTCGCTCAAGGATATATATAGAGAGCAAGAGCAGACACAAAAAAGAGGTTGCAGTCGTGAGAAAGGAAGAACAAAACTATAAAAAAATTGACAAAAAGTGGTGATAGGATTGTATGTTAATAGGATTGTATGGCAAGAATATTTGAAAATTAAAAAAGTAGATAACCTAAACGTGCAAAGACAAATTAACTGGAAAATTTCACTCGCACATGCTCACTCTTAGGGTTTACTCCACTTCGGTTGCCTTCGGTTAAGCGGTCATGAAGTATAGGGTTTGTTAGTGGTCGTCTTATAGCCCCGAAAGATCTCAAATGACCCATTCAGATGTTGCCTCAGAAAAAGATCTTTAAGGCATAGGGATGATTACTAACACCTCCTAACATTGCTTTTGTGATCGTATTTGTCCCTTCGAACGTCCCTAAAAACTTCAACGACGGTGCTACCTATCCTTAATAATGGGATAGCGCTGTCTAAAGGAAAATGAACAAAAAAAAATCGAGTAGGTAGATTAACTCTTAAGTACTTGCTCAAACAAAGAAACTTTTTCATACAAACACTTTTCAAAACAATTTTCAAAACAACTTCGTCACATCCTTGAGGACTGATACAAGGGTTATCACGAAGTAAACCTTTTTTTTAAAACAAGCACACACACAAGCAATTTTAAAATGAGCAAGTACCTAAGAGCCCGTGGAAAATCACAGATAGAAAGGGTGATAACATCTTCCCTTTCTATAATCTACTCACGTACTCAGAAATATTCTCGAAAAATGTTTTTTCTGTTCTTTTTCCTTTTTTTAATTGGATAAAATAAAAGTCGGTGGCGACTCTTGCTTACTGCAACATTTTGCGAACAAAAAACGCAAAACGCAAACCAGTATTAACAATTGATTATGTCACTGTATCACACATACCACTAAGAAAAGGAACAAATCAGTCCAAACATTGTAGTTAAGAAAGAAAACATGTACACGTCTATCACACTTTCCAATGCCAAAAATGGAAAAAAATGAAATACTATTTCATTGATCCAGAAAATAAATAAATAAATAAAGTTTCTTTAGCACTCTACCATGTAGGGAAAGTACTCTATTTCACGGTTTCTAGTATTCCATATCCATGGCTAATATATTGTACTCCTTTCAACGAATCATGCAACAACTACGTTCTATATATGATACTAATACAATGCAAAACTTGTAACCTACACGAACTGCTAATCAAGTCTAAGTCAATTAATATTTAACACAATGCTATTTCCTAACATTATTAAAAAACTAATACCTTTTTCCTTTTCAATCAAGTGTTAGGCAAGCAATTTCAATAAAAGCTTAACAAAAAGGTATTGACAAACAATGAGCAGACAATAGGTAAATGATAACCACAAGTTATCCGTCAAACTCATAATCAAAATGTTCAATAACTTGCAATGTTTTACTAGTCATAATAACATGGTTATGTTATCTTCTTTTTAACACAGAAAATTCTAACTTTTAAGGAAACATACAACAAAGTAACTACTACATTTACAACTCAATTCTGTACAACACATAAAGCTAAAGGCTACTTAAAATACCCTTGCACAACTCAGTTTAACACACAACACAAATTTGAAGTTTATAATATGTTTACCTGAGTATCAATGGAAGATGTAGAGTGAAAATGTTGGCAGAGCTTTCTCTTGAACCTGAATCACACATTTCATTGATTTTACGGTTAATTTGTTTCTACTGAGTCAAAGATGAAAGTGAAAACTAAAGCTTCACTTGAACCTGAAACACTTGTTATTGTGAGAAAGAGCTTGTAGGGGTGATGTTGAAGGACGAGCTAGTTGGATTTGAAGAACGATTTTGTCGATTTTATAACTATTTCGATAAACCCATGTTTGTGATTTGGAGAATTAAGATACAAATGAGGATTAGAGTTTGAAATTTGAAGAATGATGGGAAAAAAAGATGAAGAAGATTTGGATTTTTTGAGGATTAGGGTTTCTGAAATTTGTGTTGTCGTTGATTTCCCCAAACTACTGTGCGTGTGTGTTTCTAAAGGATTATTGAAAAATGGTGACCTGATACTTTATCTGGTTTGGAACAATGGTTACCAGATTTCTTTTAATTTGATAAATGGGCCACCAGTTTAAAAATATAACTTGGAGTTGGGTTTTAAAAATTTGGATCAATTTGAATAGTAATTTGGTTTATGATTATTGGTAATATTTTAAAAATTGGGTCGAATATCAAATTGATGAAACTTATGATTTAAGGTTTAATTGGTTTAACCGATCTAACTGTTTATTAAATAAATTAATCTCGATAATACAATAATAAGATAACATAATTTTACACTTCATTTTAACCTTCATTTAATAATAATTTGAATAAATTAAATAATTACAATAAAATAAGTTAAACTAATAAAAACTAAAATAAAAATAATAGAATATAATAATTAAAATAAAGTTTAAATAATTAAGAATACCTAAATTAAGTAAGATTTTATTTTGACAAAAACAAACTCAATTTATATCATTAAATAATTTACGTTCGATACAGGGAGGACTCAAATAAAGCATTGTGCGTCGAGAGCAAGAATTAGCTGGCCGAGCTAAGCTATGAGCAACACAATTAGCTTGGCGCTTAACAAATTTGACCTCAAAGTCATTTCTAGTAACTATAAGATTCTTAATACTAGCAACGATCATACTAAATTTAGAGTTACCGGATGAAGTAACGTGAATAGTTTGAACCACTAATTGTGAGTCACTTTCAAAGATGATATGATTCAAGTTTAACTGGATTGCTCCTATGATCGCTTCCTTCAAAGCCAATGCCTCTGCTTCAACAATTGAGTATCGACCATAATCCCACGAGGTACCTGCCATCCTGAAACTACTGACACAATCTCTAACACACTACCCTCTATTAGTAATGCCAAGTTGGTCGTTAAACCCCGCATTCACATTACATTTCAACCATCCAGTTGGAGGAGGTTGCCAAGTACTCTGATGTTGGATTCTATTAGTGTCGTCCCCAAGAGGCTTTTGGGCAAAGAACCAATCCCTCCACAAATGATAACCCTGCGCAACTAGGGAATTTGCATCCTTCTTCTATTCATTCTAGATCTAGTTATTCCTATTATGCTACAACACCTAAACAAATGTCACGGATCACATCTCGTGCATCATGCATGATGGCAAGCCTCAGCCTGATGATGTATTCAAGCCACACAACACTCCAACAATTAATTGTTAATGCATAATCAAAGAAGATGTGCCACTCGTCTTCCACATTGGTATTACACAACTGGCAGCTCTATGGGCAAGGAACAAAGTGTTTTCGGTGGTTTCTCCTAATAGGAAAGAAGCTCTGACATAAGCGCCACAAAATATGTTTAGTTTTTTGGGGCACTTTAATTCTCCATAAACTCCACCAGTCACCTTCCAACCTTCTATTTTTGAATTTATGTTTCTCCTGCTATCAGAGTTTATAACATGTTTTAACATTATAGATTTCATTATGCTCTTCCTTCCATACAATACAATCCTTCGTAACTTCATCCAAAGGGGAACCTGTAAAATATTATTAGCAATCTCAGGTGAAAATAATTGTACAATTTTGTTACGGTCCCATTGCTTACCGTGAGGATCTATAAGTTCCTGGACCATCAAGCTATAAACATGTTGCTCATGTGGTGCTTCTACCCAACAACCCCCTTCACCTCTTATTCACAGATCCGACATCACCTTTATCTTACTGTCGTCCTCAATCCTCTATCTACTCCCTAATAATAATACTTCCCAAGCTTTCCAAAGACTCTTCCATATAAAGCTTGAATTGGTACCTAAACTCGATGTCAGAAAAGAAGAGTTAGGAAAATATTTGGCTTTGGAAACTAAGGTATCTTGGTTGGTCATGATATGCCAACCCTGCTTCGCCATCATGGCCATATTGAAATATTTAAAGTCACGAAATCCCAACCCTCCTTTCTTTTTTGGATAATTCAGATTCTCCCATGCTAGCCATCTAATACCCTTATTGTTATTACCTTCTCTCCACCAGAAAGAGTTTAACATATTATCTATTTCCTCCATCATCCAATGCACCCATTTCTTCGAAAAACCCATACTTCTCATCATATTCTTCAAGAAGCCCCAATCCACCTTATCGTAAGCCTTGCTAATGTCAAATTTGAGTGCTAATTCTACAATGTTACCATAAGTTTTACGTTTCAACTTACGGATGATCTCAAACGCAATAAGAGAATTATTAAGAATTGATCTTCCCTCCAGGAAAGCAGATTGTTCCTCCGAAACACATTTGTATAAGCACATCTTCAATCTACTGGCTAGTAATTTCGATATCACCTTGTACATTATGTTACAAAGAGAAATAGGTCTCAAATCTTTCATCGACGACATGTTATCATATTTTGGAACGAGGCATATGTTTGTGTCGTTCAAATATGCTGGAAAAAGCCACGGTCCAGCCAATGACATGCTGCCTGAAAAATGTCCTCGTCGCAAACATCCCAAAAATTCTGATAAAATGTCAGATTGAAACCATCGGGACCCGAAGATTTATCCAGATGCATATGTTTCAGCACTGTTAACATTTAAGAATACCAAAAATAAATCATACAATATACTTAATTAAACAAAAAAAAAACAAATTCAAGTTGAATTGCGACAAGCAAATCATAATTGACAACAACAAACAATATTGACTTGAACGACAATCAATATTGAGCTGGATAATGTGCGTATGTTTGTAAGAGACGGTGTGATGATGCTGAAGTGTAGTTGAAAGAAAAACTATAATGGAGTGACAAAACTTAGGCATTTGTATGGTTGTAAAAAAAATGGAATACTTTTTTTGTGAATCAGACGACTTTATAAAACCGACTCTGGTTCTTTGGTTCACATGGTTTTTGACGGTTCAATCTGGTCTTTTCGGTTTTACTTCGATTTTGACTCACTAGCGATTTTAAAAGGTTGACTCAACCGAATTTATCTCCGGTCCAACCGATTGAACCGACCAATTTAATCTGATTTTTAAAATATTGATTATTAATTATTTTACATACCCCCTAGCCTCAACCGCAATGGACCGTACAATCCATTATATTAAAAATGTAAAATACACAACCAATACGATCGAGATTTCATCGAAGGCCGTTCAAAATATTTAAATATCCTAAAAAAAAAAAACATCACTCTTTATTAGCATAAGGATACGCGTTAAAGACTCCTTTAAAACATTATATTAAAAAAAAAACATTTGAATGCACTTATTCTTAATTATAATAACATAACTTAAGGCTCTTTATTTATTTCAGTCAATAATTAAATTGAATCTCACAGTATTTCTTAAAAATTAAAATAAATTTTCACTTTACTTTTAAATAATTTGTAAATACTTAGAGAGCACAAATTTTATATGAAATTTCGTGATTTTACTAGTTGATAAAACACAATCAGTTTTGTCTTTCATTTCCAAGTTCCTTCTCGCTTTGTTCTCCCAAATTTCTAGGGTTTCGTTGCTTCTTCGCTCCGTGAATCAACAATTCGGAACCAATTAAGCATCAACGATGTTTAGATTCTGGTAATTCTCCGTTTCAATTCCAAAACTTCAATCCTATTTCATAAATTATACTTCTCTTTAACCTTTTGATTCTTCAAAGTTTCGAGAATTTTACTCTTTACCGCATGTTCGATTCGATCCAATAACATTACTCTAAAAATTTCCGACTTATTCATATGATTTGATAATAATCGTAAATAATGAATTTAGGGAAAAACTTTGGTGTTGATGTTGTTGTTTATTCGCAGGGGATCACCAGATCAACCATCGCAGCAGGGTTCATCACAGTCGTGGTATCCACCATCTGTGACGAGCTCGTCGAGTTCTTCGAGACCTGCTACACCCGCTTCCTCTTCGGGTTCGCCGAGGCCTTCTTCGCATGTTCCGCCAGCTGAAGCCGCCGGAACAATTGCTTCTTTGAAGGACAAGAGGTCTAACGCCGATTATACATTGGTTATTCTGTTTTCTTAACTGTTAAGATATGATTATCTTAATGTTGTGTTTATTTTGCTTTGTAAATTGTCCAGTGTTGATGAGTTGAGAAAGCTTTTATCTGATAAAGATGCGTATCAACAGTTTCTACAATCACTTGAGCAGGTCAAGATTCAATCCAATGTAAGTTTATTATCTCTACTATCCAATTTATGGTGGTTTATTACCTTGGAATTTCTTGAAATTTATTGGATGTGTGGTAAGACTAAACATCATAAATTATAAATGACAATATTAGTGTTGGGATAACACCTATAGTAGGAAAGATTGTGGAAAATAGACTTAGGTGGTTTGGACATGTAGAGAGAAGACCTATAGATTTTGTGGTAAGGAGAGAGATAGGAGTCAAACAACCAGAGGTAGAGGAAGACCTAGAAAAACTAGAAGAGAAGTTATTAAGAAAGATCTTGAGATTAATGTTTTGGTCTTGGATAGAATATTATGGCAGAAGTTGATCCATGTAGCCGACCCTATTTAGTGGGATAAGGCTTGGTTGATGTTGTTGTATTACTATGCTAAGACCCAACAATAGCTAGCTAGTAGTAGGTGATTGGCTCTTTCGGTGTCCATATCCACCCTAGGGAAATGCCTCTATTTAGATGGTTGGCAAAGCTATATCATTAACTAGTATTACAAAGAAACTATAATTATGATTTTATTGTGCTGCTTATGCAATGCACACTTCAGAGATTGTTTGCTGCTAAATAGTGTGTTGAATGTGTGTGGATATATATAAATATATCCATGCCAATTCTCCTAGTTGACTGTATACTTGAGTTTTTCTGCATTAGAGATGATATTGTTGAATGATACAGGTATATGAAGGTTGTTAGCGGTCTTGCTAATTATCATATTCTGCTGTCTTTATAGATTATGTATGGATTGGGGAGTGTCTCAAGGCCTATAGGCTGTAATACCTAGCTGCAGCTCATACCATCTTAAGATGTTATGGAGAACCAAATATTATAACTTCTTGTTTGGTAATCCTTTTTCCTCGTGAGTCACCACTAATAACTAAAAGGCTAAATTACAATTTTAGTCCCCCTATTTTGGCCAATTCATGAAATCAGTCCTCCTATTTATTTTTTAAGCAGTTTTGGTTCCCCATGCCCATATTTCGTCCAAAAAACGTTATTGTGTACTATTTTTTAGATACATGGGATACTATTATTGACTTGGCATAAGAAATATTAATTATTCATTGCATTTTCAACGATGTTTTTCTCCTTTAGTTGTCTTCTCTGATCATCTTCTTTCTCTCTCAGCTTGTTCGTTTGTCTTCTTCGTTCTCCAGAAAATGCTCTCTATGTTCTCTCTCATTTAGAATGTATGCCACATATACAAAAAAATGACACGTCAGCATTTCTTTGGATGGAAAATAGACACGGGGGATCAAAATTGTTTAAAAATAAATAGGGGGACTGATTTCATGAGTTCCCCAAAATAGGGGGACCAAATCTGTAATTTAGCCTGACTAAAACTAAAAGTGACAACAGTAATGTACTTCTAGTGATTTCAGAGGAGAGAAAGAGGAAGAGGAAATTTAATGGTATGAATTATGCAAGAGCACTAATGCATGAAGGGCTATAACTAATTCAAGAGCATTAGAGGGAAATACTGGCTCCCCCATTACTATAGGCATGCACCAAGGGTCAGTTTTGAACCCTTGCATTTTTGTCTTTGTTTTAGATGTCCTTGACAACACATGCAAGAGACGGTGCTGTGATGCATTTTTTATAACAAATGATATATTTTTAGTTGTAGAATCAAGATTCATGAAAATAATAATAATAAAATTAGAAATTTGGAGAGTAGAAACAGGACTTCTGCTGTAGTTGGAGCAAATAGAGCTTATAAATTTAGTTAGAAACACACAAATACTAGCTTAAAGATGAAAATCAGAGACTACTCTATACCTCAAGTTTAACATTTTAAGTGCAACGAGTCCATCATGCTAAATAGAGGGGGTTGTCAACTACAGGATCCAAGCTAACGGATGAAATGAAGGAATTCTTCAGATGTAATTTGTGATAGAAAAGTACCACTGAAGCTTAAAGGAAACTAAACTGCACAACTATAAAAGCTGTATTATTGTATGGAATTAAATGTTGGACTAGTAAAAGGTAACAAGACAAAGACATTAAAGAATAGTGTTGTTGAGACGAGAAAATGTTACCGTGGGTGCATGATCATACAGGATAAAATAAGATTCTAAGTTTTATCTCTAGAGAAACATTAGAGCTAGCTCCTATTAGAAGAAAGATGGTAAAACCTTGTCTTTAGTGGTTTACATGTGTGTAGCTAGTCCATAGAAGCACTGATGAGGATGGTTATAGAATGGAGGATAGTCCCTATTTTGAGGTAAAAGCCTTAATAGGTGACCAAGGAAATATGTAGGTCAAATCATTTAGAGGTGTTTATAGTTACAATCTCTCTTTAAATTGTACTCATGACAGGACATCATGGTGTCATTTGTTTCATGTACTCAACCCCACATAGTGTGGGAAAAGACTTCGGTTGTTGTTATTATTATAGTGACAGAAGAACTGGCTCAGAATATAACCTGGTTCTTTCCTTTTATCATCTCTCAACTGACCTTAACTAACAAACTTGTTATACCATATCTCCTCTTATTTTTTATTATGCATGTGACTATGATAACAAACTTGGGCCCTAACAAATAGTTTCCATACTGAAAGAATTAATATTAGAATTCTAGAATGACAGTATGACATTTATCCCAAACAATTGGAATGATGTTTAATCACACTACTCAAACTATCAGAAGTAATTGACTACGCTCAACTGCATAATCTGTCTCATACTAGTGTGCTGGCAATTTTGTTGTATTATTCCTATGCTCCAACTTCTTCAGCAGTTTTTTTGCTTTTGTTGCTGATAGTGGAAGTTATATCTGCGTGTATTTTAATTATTGTATGACCTATTGATATGTCCAGCTGAAAGATGTTTAATGAGACAACTCAAACTATCACAAGTAATTGACTGTTCAACTGCACAATTGGTTTCATACTAGTATGCTGGCAATTTTTTGTTGTTGTTATGCTCCAACTTTTTCAGCAGTTTTTTTGCTTTTATTACTGATAGTGGAAGTTGTATCTGCTTGTATCTAATTATTGTATGCCTATCGATATGTTCAGCTTAAAGATGAACTTAGCAAGGAGAATTTGCAACTTGCAGGTGAGTGAATGAATTTCATTTATTTGCAGTGCCGGTATTAAATGGTTTTGCCATTAGTTAAGTGTTGTAGAACTTCTCAAACTTGTCTTTAATACAGAGGAAAATCTACAAAAGGAACCTCGTATCATGGAACTTAGGAATCAGGTAAAATCACGACCTTAAGATTAGTTTTTTTTTCTTTTCTGAATGGAATTCTTGGAAACCGAGTTATCTGCAGTTAAGGATCATCTGCATTCACATTGTCAGCAGATCGTCGAGTTTAAAAAATTTTAAATAGCTTGCTCAAAATCTGTTGATCAAGATTGGACAGTGTCGAACTGCTGACTGTGTGAATGCAGTTCACTAGCTGCAGGAAGTTAATATGCAAAATCTTATGCTGATTACAAAACTTTTCTCCTTCCTATGGAAACAGTGTAGAATAATTCGCACAACTGAGTTAGCTACTGCCACTGAGAAACTAAATGAGCTTGAGAAGCAGAAAGAAGAAATGTTAAAGTTGAATTCTCCTGCATCCCTTATCCAAAGGATTCAAGGTATGACTTGAACTGACATTTTGATGCAATAGTTCTGGTAGTAACAATTTTTTTCACTGCTGTGACGACGACTAGGTCATACATCTGATGAACTTGTAATTTGCAGAGTCTGTGAACCAGACAGACGAGGAATCTGAAAACCTGCACCAGCAACTCCTTGACAAAGAGATTGACCTTGCAGCTTTCTTGCTGAAATACAAGAAGCTACGCACCACTTTTCACAAGAGAACTCTTATACATCTTGCTGCTAAAACATCAAATATATGAGCCTTGACATAGACTTATGAACAATAATGAATTAAACCAATTATATTAGTTGTACCTGTGTGGATAGAGCTTTGGTGAATAAGAAACGTTTATATGTACAGCTTGAAAATTGAGATTGTTCTCTGTGGCTACTTGTATTGGTTTCAATAAGGAGTAGTTAAACCAATTATGTTATGCTTCATCTTTTGAAGAGGTACGGACTTAGCTGTACATTCTTTTAGGACTTTACTACATTCAACAGTATTTTTCTGAAGTATATGTTTATATGTGGTGTTATCATTTTTATGGATTTGATTGTTTGGTAAAGTGTATATTCAACTCTTTACTCTTTTTTTCTTCCAAAAATGATGTTTGAGCATTAAAATGAGACATCAAATAGTTTGTTTGCGAGGTGTTTTTGTAGTTTGTGTAGTGTGCATGAATTTAAAATTAAGTGTGAGATAGAGATTTACAGAATCACATGCAATTTCAAATTAGATGTTTAAATTACACAATTGTATTTATTTTTAGTTAATTAAAAATTGAATATTGCCAAGTTCTCAGAGCTTTTGAGGGCCATTGGTCTTTACCAAACGTCTAGAGTAGACAGTCTGTATAGTGGTGTCCTATATGACACTGTCAAATACATTACAAACAAGTTCCTTAGTTTTGAAACATTCTTATATGTTTCTCAATCCCATAAGTCCCAAATACCTTTTATGCCCGAATCTTCACCAACCACTCCCTCTTCCTCATCATCACTCACCCTCACACCAATACCAAACTCTGTGGAAGGTGAGTTAGGTGTTTTTAACTTTGGAACAAGGCCTGATTTCAACTTTGTTTGATTGTTCTGGTTAGCGTTAAGTTGTTCTGCCTACCTACAGAGGGGAATACATTTGGTGACTTTGTTTTTACATGATTTGGGTAACCTTTTAGGAGAAAGTAAAACAACTAAAGGAAAAGTAGATTACTGTGAGAGAGATAGAGAGAAATTCAGTGACTATTTTTGGGGATTTTTTATTTCACCTCATAATTTTGTGCACCACGTGAAATTTTAAAAATATCCTTAAAAATATTCCCACACGCATATAATAAGTATAAACTAGAAATACACTTCCGTTTCCAACAAGTATAACACACATATTAAAAAATTTCTTCAACTCATTTTACTCATTAACTCAATTAATTAAATCAATACATTTACACTTCTCACAATATATTATACTAGATTAAGTAAAATTAATCAAAAATAGCTTTTAAATTTAACAATTTAATTGTAATGATTTAATTAAAATAATTATAAATTTATTAACTTTTTAACATATTATAAAATAAAAGTTAAAAAATACATTAAAAAAAAAAACTAAATCACTATAAAATAAAACAGGATAAATTGATGCAGCTTATAAAATAACAATGTATGATATTTCATTAAGAGGATTTATAAAATTAAGTAAATTGAATCTATATTAAATGCTTTCTTGTCAATTGATAAAAAAATGCATTGGTAAATTGGCTACGAACTGTAAATATATTTTTGGTTTTTGAAGAGTATTTTCGGAATTGCAAAGGCTCTTATTTTAGGGCGGGATGAAATAAGAAATCTCCCTTTTTCTCACTAAAGTTATAAAAACTTTACCCGCTCCATAGTAAGGATAAGATGATAATGGATATCCATGGACATGTGTACTAATTTTCCGTTACCCGTCTTGTTTAATAAATATGATATTTATACCCGTCTCATATCTATGTGAATATCCGCCATATTAGAGATGACAACGAGATCCATTCCTAGTGGATACCCGCAAAAATCATCTACAATGTGTACAGTTAAAACCCGCAAAATTGACATGAATATGAACAAGTGTAATTACCAACTTAAATAAGCAGGTATGGGCACAAATACATATATATTAGTATCCACCCCCACCCTATTGTTGAGTTAAGCAATAAACAAAAATTTATATTGAAATACGTAAAAATCAAATAATAATGTATTTAATAAAATGGTAAATTAATATATATATATATATATATATATATATATATATATATATATATATATATATATATATATATATATATATATATATATATATATATATATATATATATATATATATATATATATATATATATATATATATATATATATATATATATATATATATATATATATATATATATATAATATATATATATATATATATATATATATATATATATATATATATATATATATATATATATATATATATATGACATGATAAATTATAAATGATTGATTATTTTTTTAGGTTGCGATTACGGGGACAAATACTATAATACTCTATCCAAATCCTGCTCAAACCCTGTCATTGCCATTTCTACGCTAGAACGGGTATCAATGGATTTTAAATACGCACACATATTTATAGATACTATTATTTAAATATTTTTTTATAAATAATATAATTAATCAATTTTTTATCTCTTTTAAAGAGAAAAAATAATTTCAAATTTAATACATAATAATAAAAATAAAAATAAACCACTCCTCATTTTATTTCTTCTTTTTATCAAATAATGATATTATATTCAACAAAATAATTATAGATTCTAATAATTATAATAATAATAATAATAAAATAATAATAATAATAATAATAATAACAATAATAATAATAATAATAATAATAATAGTAATAATAATAATAATAATAATAATAATAATGTTTTAATTCAATAAAATAATATTAATAATAATAATAATAATAATAATAATAATAATGTTTTATATTCAATAAAATAATAATAATAATAATAATAATAATAATAATAATAATAATAACAATGATAATGTTTTATATTCAATAAAATAATAATAATAATAATAATAATAATAATAATAATAATAATAATAATGTTTTATATTCAATAAAATAATAATAATAATAATAATAATATAATAATGTTTTATATTCAATAATAATAATAATAATAATAATAATAATAATAATAATGTTTTATATTCAATAAAATAATAATAATAATAATAATAATAATAATAATAATAATAATAATAATAATAATAATAATAATAATAATAATAATAATAATAATAACAACTATAATGTTTTATATTTAATAAAATAATAATAATAATTTTAATAATAATGATAATAATAATAATAATAATAATAATAATAATAATAATAATAATAATAATAATAATAATAATAATAATAACTATAATGTTTTATATTCAATAAAATAATAATAATAATAATTTTAATATTAATAATAATAATAATAATAACTTTAAATTTTAATATTAAAATAATTTCACTAATTATTAACGGATACAAATATTCAATGGTATGGGTACCATCTGTTGGAACATACAATTACAAAATTGGTGAATAATTGAGAGTTTAGGGTATGTGGAGAAGAAGATAGTCAGATAAAAGAAAATTAGAGAGAGAGAAATAATTGATGATGAGAATGAACAATTGCATTAATCTGAGATGATGATGTCTCCAATGCATTTATACAAGTGTTATAAAATAATTGAGACTTAAAATAAATAATCTAATTACAAGAAAAAGCTAAAACTCGGGATCGTAATTGGTTAACACAAACTTTATTAACTGATTAACACAGACAAACAATAAAATCTACATGTCAGGTGTAACCGGTTAACACGTTTGGTTAACCGGTTAACCCAACTCCAAAACCAGTTACACCCCATGTTAACCGATTATAACACTTGAATTATTGGTTTTTACTCAACACACTACCTCAATTTAAGTGCTCCAAGTTTTCTATGCCCATGCTCATCTTCAATCTCTTGAAAACATCATTTATGACTCCCTTAGTCAATAAGTCAACAATTTAGTCATCACTTCTACAATATCCCAATCTTAACTTGCCTTCACTAACAAGCTTCCTCAAGTAGTAAAACCCCATCTCAATGTGCTTGCTTCTCCCATGTATAATTGGGTTATTAGCAAGACTAATTGCTGAAATATTATCAACCAATAGTGTGACACTCTTACCCTCATTGCTACCCAACTCTTTCAATATATTTATTAGCCACACAATTTGACACATACATAACAAAGCGAAAATATACTCAACATCACAAGATGAGAGTGAAACTATCAGTTCCTTCTTCGAACACCATGAGATTGGTGTTCCACTGAATATAAAGATGTATTCAGTTGTAGACTTCCAATCATTTTTATCTATGCAATAATTGGTATTTCTAAAACCGAGTAAACTGTATTTTTTGCCCATATCAACTGCGACGATGATGCCAAAACTTAGGACAATGCGTTTCATGTATTTATCAAAGGCCCCCCTTACTTTGTGCTTTCCAACTTAATCTCGCATATGCTTCTCCCCCTTTGGTAACACTAAAAATAAAGAAGGAAAATCGTGAGAAGTATAATATTCCAATACCAATACTAATATATTACACATATGCATTTTTGAAATGAAGAGCATACAATTATATATCCCATATATATATATATATATATATATATATATATATATATATATATATATATATATATATATATATATATATATATATATATATATATATATATATATATATATATATATATATATATATATATATATATATATATAATGATGCAAAAACTAATAGATAAAAAGCATAAAACATTACCAAATATGTAATGCAATTGCATAAATAATAATGAATATGATGCAAGAACAAGCTAGTCAAGTTGCTTTTATAGCGTCACGATTACGTAACACAACATAATGGAACTCTCGATGCCGCTGATAAAAAAAATAACAAGTGTACTATTTTCATATGTAGTAATAATGGGATTTTCCTCAAGTATCGATATCGAGAACTACGTAGGAAATACTGAGTTGTATTATTAATTCAATTAAATAAAAACAGTAGTTTAGAGTTTGATTGGAATAAACCCTTGCGAAAGATTAAATGATTAAAAGTAAAATGTGATTTTTTCTATTTGATTAAAATATGTTAGGGGTGA